CCGAAATAAAATGTTTTTAATTGTGTACTGGTTTAACGTTGAATATTATTTATGATTTTAATTTTATACACAAATGCCAAAATACTATAATTAAAGATGACTTGTTATTTAATGGAAGAAAAGGTTCCATTTCCTTCTTTTCCAATTATATACATATCAAAGTTATATTCAGAGTTCCCAAAAAGTTGCGTACATGCACAAAACATGGGAAGATTTGATATCTGACATCCTCCACATTAAACTTCAGTAAATCACTAGTGTGGTAATTGTGAAATATGTATTGATAATTTTAATTTACTAAGTATTTTTATCAACACAACATCATGTTTGAGTTTAAAGCCAGTTCTATCTGTGTGCCAAATAAATATGTCTAAAAAGTATATATATCTTATGCACATTAGAATTTACTGAAGCATTTGAGTTGTTTTTATTTTATCGCTGTAGAGAAACCTGAGGAAGAAGTTCATGACTGTGTGTCCACCAAACAATTGCTGCTATTATATAGCGTGCGGTCTACAAAGATATTTACACTATAGCGTGCTGTCTACACAGATACTATCATCATCATCACTGTTTTAACTTTCATTTATTTACAATTGGCACCATTTTTTTCCAAATAATGCTTTAAAACTAACAAAGTACAAAATACCATTACATAACGTTTTGGGGGCAAATATAATCGGAATGAAATAAGTTCTAACAATCAAAACTAACACAATTATAACCTAAATTTAAGGTACTCTTTTGGAACACACAACTCATTAAATTATTACTATTATTTGCTGAACAAAAACGTGGATGGATAAATTATTTAGCAAAAAATTATATTTTAGTGAATCATTAAAATGGTGATGATGATAGTATCTGTGTAGATCACAAGCTATAGTAGCACCAAACAAATAAAAAACTCCCCCATGATCCTCTAGGTTTCCAAACTGTTTGCCCCCAAAGATTTTGGACATTCTGCTACTCTAGTTATATTGATGTAAATAATTTTATCTGATCACATATTGCACAGAAAAGCATGTTTTTTGTCCAAGGTATAACAATATTTAAGTTATTGGATGTTGAGAATGTGTATAAAACTGAAGGCCTCCAATGTCTCATGCTGGGTGTTATAACTGGTACTTCTGAATATTCAGGATAGCAGTTTTTGAATTGTACCTCTAATCATGTGTTTACCTTGAAATATATGGTTTCATCATTAACCCTATTGCAACCAGACCTTTTTGTATTCTGAGGAACCACGACATACCAAACATTTTATGTACGATTTTACTTACAATATATTTCATTGAAGAACGGCCCTACAATCTCTCTATTTTTTGATTCATTGTGAAAATCCCTTATCAAAAATTGGCTGAAGGTCCTGGTAAAATAAATAGGAAGAAGTACACGTTACGTTAAGTTTCACGTTCAAGTTACAATATAATAATCATAATACTAATATCTTATAACAAATGATAACTAATTATAACTTGTGTGTTTTGTAGTCCTTTTTTTATTTTGTAGTAAACCTGGCAAGCCAATTTAGTGTTTTACATTTCAACTTAAAATGTTTTGAATGATATACATGTACATAGCCTATTGCACGATCCCGTAAGAATCTGGTAACAAGTTATACAGTTACAAAGTCATTCACAACATAACAATAACTTCCCGTTTATACTGATTAGAATTTAAACTTATTTGTGTGTTTACTTCATCTTGATTCCCATTCTTTACTGGAAATGTCAGAATTTAAACTTATTTGTGTGTATACTACGTCTGTGTAACCTTTCAAATAGTCATGTTCTCATTGATCTGCTTTTGTTTACATTTTAGTTTCAAATGCATCAGAAGAGCCCTGGAACAGAGTAACAGATGTCCAAAGTGCAACTTTGTGATTGAGAAGAAAGATCAGATATTCCCAAACTTCCTCTGTTAGTATTGTATCTCACTTGCGTTTATTTAATATTTCTATCAAGTCTATCAATAAACTTGCACTGTCTTCATTTGACATTTAGTGATTACTGGCATGGCTTTAGAAAGGGATTTTCATACTTTATGAATTACATCATTCCAGTTAATGATGTATATTTTGACTTTCAGAAACTCTTTGTTAAGTTGTCTTATGAGAGGCTAATTACAGTAGTAAGTTAAATACTTACCAGGTTCATGGAATAGTTATGAAATAATTAAACAATCGACTTATGGATAGAAAGTAAGTAGCGAAAATAAATCTGGAGAACTTGACTAGTAGGATTCCTCGAAGATGTGTCTTAGGACTTTTATTACTTATTAATTAATTTAATAAGTTCGTTAGGATCTTAGACGTTAATAATTCTAAATAGCTGCTATGACTTGGTTCTGTTGAGAATATATCTTATCCAAAAGAACCTTGACAGTCTTGAAATTAAAAATTGGTCAGAATGTTGAGAATATATCTTATCCAAAAGAACCTTGACAGTCTTGAAATTAAAAATTGGCCAGAATGTTGAGAATATATCTTATCCAAAAGAACCTTGACAGTCTTGAAATT